GTAATGCAATAAAGCTTAGACTATGCAGAATGATCGTTAAAGTGCTGAAACAATTCTGAAAACAAATAAAACTCTGATACCAAAAAAATAAAACTAACAAAGTTTAGCTTGATTGATTTACAGTCCAAAATCCATGTGACAGTCTAAAAAAGCAATTTTCCAGATTATATAGAAATATAGATTCTAGGTATCCTCTCTCTCATACTTTCTACACCCTTTCCTCTGAAACAATGAATAAAATGCCAGCAACGTGAGTGAAATAGCATCAGATATTCAGAAGGTTGAAGAGATCAAAGCATGCTCCAATCAGGAATCTGTCAGACATACTCTAATACTCGGCACAGGTCGTGCCAGCAGCTACCGTAGCTGTGAGCCTCAGATCAGGATGTGGGGAGCCTGTGTGCCAGGGAAAGGGTGTGGCAGGTTGGGCAGGATGGAAAATGCTCACTTCTAAGAGTAAAAGGAGACTTAGTCTGCAAAGTAGGCAAAGGAATCTGGCCTTTTGCTTGTTGATTTGACATTTTCTACTACCTATTGAACAAAATTGGTATTTTCATATTCAATATGATCTTTACACAGAATTTCCAAGAAGTCAAGTAGAAGAGCTCTAAATTAGAAGTCAGAAGAATTGGATTCATATCCTAACTTTTTTCTTAAAATACCCTGTGAGCGAGGCAAGAAATATAACCTCATATTCTTAGTTCCTTCATCCATAAAATGAATAGCTTAGATTAAAAGTATTTCAAGGACCCCACAAGCTCTAAAATTCTCTGAATCACTAAGCAAGATAAAGCAATGAACTAATTTAATTATGATCTTTCTGCATAACTAGGCTGCTATAATCAGGAGGGCTCTCCTGAAACACATTATTTTCCTCCACTTCTGGCTTGACTATATTATGTTTTCTATCATGATGGTATAATGGATAGCCCTAAATGCCTTCAGTCAAAGTGATTCAGATTCCCTACAGCATACAGTCATCTTGATTAAAATAACAGTTTATTACAGATGGAGTAGTTCCAAAACACAATAGTGCTCTTCAAGTAGCAGGTGTTCCTGTATTTTCTTCAAACAGCTACCTGGAAAGATGCAAAGGGGTTTTGTTTCTTGATGAGTAAACAGACTTTTACCCATGACAACAAATTGTCAGACACAGGTAAATTAAAATATTCTCCCCAAATTCTTTTTCGTGTATTAAAATATAAGTGCTACTCCTCATTAATTAACCCCATCAGAAAACAAGTGAGTGGAAATAAAAGTAAAATTAAATATATTTATTAAAAACAAGTTCATTTTTATGTTATAGAACTCTTACTCTTCTCTTGAGAACTTGCTTAATTTTTTGTTTTAACTCTTAGATGATCTGAAAAGCAATGCATTTAACTTTAATGAGAAATTTAATACTGAATGCAAATGAGTTAAAAGGTAGGTGAAAATGATCAATGTTATCAAGAATAAGTATACTATTTTAAAAATGAATTATTACTGAATTCAGAAAAAGTCATGGCCTGTGGATTTTAATTTAGATTATCAACATCCAATCTTTCTCCATAGAAGGAAGCCAAACATATTAATATTCTAATCTTAATTTTTATAATACCTAAGTTCGACTTCTAGCTCATGTAGTCGCTTATAACCTTCGACTTCCTACTTAGCTCATCTGAGTCTTCAGTGAGGAAGGCTGTGATCACAGCCAGTTCCCATGAACGAAATCCCACTCTCAAAGTGGCTTAGTCCAACAGCGAGTGTTAGGTAATGATCCTTCTACATGAGAAACTCTTTAATCGCATAATAAAACTATATATATTTTTTAACTTTTTTTCTTTTATTGATTTTTGAGAGTGAAGAAGCGGGGGAGAGAGAGCGAGAAATAGAAACATCGATGGGAGAGAGCATCCATTGGCCGCCTCCTGCATGCCCCCACACTGGGCATTGGGCCCACCGGGAATGGAACCAGCGACCTCTTGGTGTATGGGTCAATGCTCAACCACTGAGCCACATTGGCCAGGCCTATTTATATTTTTTCAAGTTGTTATTTCTCTTGAAAAAGTTTAGCTACTTCATTTCACCTTTGTTTTTTGTTTTTTCACATTTATAACTAAAGCAAATTTCAAAGGAAAAAATTATTAAGGTTAATTTCTCAACAATTACTCCTTCTATTATCTTGTAATTCCCTCCTCACTTTAAGACACAAAGGTTCCATTTGTCTTCATTACACCTGTTTAGTGAAAAGTGGTTGTCATGCCACTGAAAGAAAGAAATATAGAAGTATAAAGTATATAGTAAAACAGCATGGCTCTTTACTGAATAGTTCCTAAAGTAATAGATTTTCTTTGTCGGGGTTTCCCTGAATTCACTCCTTTATTACAAGAATAGTTCAAGAATCACACATATCCATTCTAAGATCTATTACCCATTTTCTTCCTAAAAAAGAAAATGATACTATGCAATGAATGTGGATCACAATAAAATAAGATCTCCATCTCATTATGTGAGTGGAACACTCACTATTATCAGCGAGGGACACTCGGGACTGGTGAGGGGTGAACACATACATTTTGATGTAAATATACCTGAATTTGAACTCCAGTCTGTCCCTGACTGGCTAGGTAGCCACAGGACGGTTATATTATTTCCATGAGACTCCTTTATCCCCTGCTGTAGTGACATGGACTTGCATTATTTAACTCACAGGGTTGTGCTAAGAATTACTCGAAATAGTATATGTTGATGTTTGATAAATGGTATATGATTAGTTTTCAATAAATATACCTATTATTGTGTATTACTGTGGTTGTACGCCACGATACCTTTAAAATTATGTTATTATTAAAGCATCGATCAATGGTTATGTGACTCCTGCATCTGATTGCATGTCTGCATTTCAGATTGTGATTACACATTCTGAGATCCGACTTGAATGTTGTGCATATAATGCCTGCAGCCATCCCTTTGTCCCAGACCAGGACTGCCCTGGCCCTGGTGTCCTGCTCTAGGAGGTGCCACGCTCGTCCTGCGGTGCCTTCACCCATCAGTTCCTTCTCTGAAGAGCTGGGGAGGGGGACATGGAGATTAAAACTCAAGGCCTTGCCCCCAGGATTTTACAATCTATCTGTTGAACTAGAATACATAAAAATGAATAGCCAGTGAGCAGAAGAAACTTCTGGAACAGTGAGGGGCACTCAGTTGAAAAGATGAGAAGTAAAGAAAGAGAAAATTAAAGGCAAATTCCCTGCTCTTATGTTTGCCATCTGGCTGGGTGGCTTTCAAACGAATGAGCAGGGTAAAATCCAGCCTGGTTCCACAAAGAGAGCAGCCTAAGAAGTACTTTGTAATGATGATAAAATATATGTATCATATTAAATAGCGAAACAGAATGGTTATGCCAAAACGCATGAGAAAAAACAATACATGTTATGAAAAACTCCTCTCTTTTATAATTAATATCACTAAATAAGAATAGACATATATTTCTTTTTTTTTCTTTATTGATTTTTAGAGAGAGAGGACGGGAAAGGGAGAGAGATAGAAACATCGATGAGAGAGAACATCGACTGGTTGCCTCCTGTATGCTCCCACTGGGGATCGGGCCCACCAACATGGGCATGTGCCCTGACCAGGAGTCAAACCGGCAACCTCTTGGTGCATGGATCGACGCTCAACCACTGAGTCACGTCGGCCAGGCTAGACATATATTTCTTAAATAATGTTTTTAATATGGTAGGAAGACAGGTTTTTAAAAATGTGGTTAAACATCCATAGGAATCAACTGGAGAAACTATAGGAGTTCAACATGACTCCTAGGAGGATGTATCTCAAAATACTTTAATTGTACATTTTAAAGTAATATAAAGTGTGTTTCTAAAATGTAAGAGAGCTGAAATGTAAACATGAGTGAAACAAATAATAAAAGCCAAGTGTGCAGAGCCGAAGCAAACCCTTCACATGGTACACATCACGTAAGTATCACACTCAGCAGATACGAGCAAAACACTCCTGTGAGAACTGAGAGCATCATATTTTAGCAAGTCTCCTAATTTAAATATAAAAATAAATCACTGTAATATTTTCTGCATGCATTTCATTAGGCTGGCTTTTCTGCATTATATAACAGAGTCCTAAATTACAAAGTTAACTCAGGTTGCAGATAAAACGCGGGCTATGCAGACATGTGAGCCCTGGTATTCTGGTGGGGCATGTCCCACCAGTGCTAGGGCACTTCACTGACGCTCGCGTGCAATAAAACAGCAGTGGCCTCCAGAGCATGACTTTAACATCAGCTTGCTTGAAATTCTAACGAGATTCTTGAAATGAACACACACACACACACACTCATCTCCTTTTTGCTGCTGTTTTAACTTGCCAAAGAGTAAAGGTATATGAACCAAGTCTCATTAATATTAATGTATACCCTGTTATTTTGCTCTCTGAACACTGTCACTTTATTATACTAAATTAAAGCCTTGACAGAAACATCCAATTAATCCTCAGTAAGAAAATGCATTACGGTGTCACAGTTAATAAGCAGTTCAATGTAATCATACCTTGTTCATTCTCCTGAGCAGTGCAGTACTTTGCATGGTGTGCTTAGAACCACAATGTCTAACATCAGTTCCCTTAACGATCCCTCACATGTGAGTTAAAATGGACAGTCATTCTTCTTTCAAATGTATAAATATTCTACTTTATTTTACTAAGAAGGAAAGGGAAGGAAATATCTAAGTAGAAAGAAGAAATGCATCTGTCTTAGACCGACTGATGACATAAAAATTGTCTTGGGGATTCAACCATAATCATAGAGGATGATGCTGAGCTCAGAGCTGGTTCCCAGGCCTAGCTCCCTGAGTTCCATGGAGCATCTGAACCACAAGCAGCAGCTAAAGGACTCTTCCTCTGGTCCTGTTCAAACAGAGCTGTAATTAAAACCTCTCTGGCCATGTGCTACTTATAGGAGACTACACGACTACACTGAACAGAGACATCATGGGCAAAGATCTTACCTTAATGAGAATCTGAATGGAGCCCGTGGCTTTAGCAGATAAGAAATACCAGAAGCTCAGGGTACAGGCGGCACTGGATTCTTGCCACACAGCACTCTTGAGGTGTGCCTCTTCACCCCGAAGGCCCACTGGGGTAGCCTCCAGGTACAAGAAGTGCCCTGGGAACGAGGGCAGGATTTAGATAGGATGAAAACAACACTGAGGGAATTATTTTAGCTTTTCCATCTTTGAGTTGTTTTAAAATTAAAATACAATTGGCATCTGGATGGCCAATAGACACATGAAAAGATGCTCAACATCACTAATCATCAGGGAAATGCAAGTAAACCACAGCGAGATATCACCTCCCACCTATCAGACTATTATCAAAAAAACAAGAAATAACAAGTGTTGGAGGGGATGTTTGTGGGAGTGTAAATTGGTGCAGCCACTGTGGAAAACAGCATGGAGGTTCCTCAAAAAATTAAAAATAGGATGGCCATATGATCCAGCAATTACAGTCCTGGGTGTTTACCTAAAGAAATGGAAACTGGTCATTCGAAAAGATATATTCACCCCTATGCTCATTGCAGCATTATTTACAATAGCCAAGATATGGAAGCAACCTAGGTGTCCATAGATGAATGGATGGCTAAAGTTCTTCATTATATTTCATATGATCTGAGCTGTCAAACAACAGGGAAATCTAAGAGCCTTGCCTCTAACTCACTGACAGAACAATTTCCAACTGAGTGCTCTCAGCAAAGTACTTCACAGTATGCAGATGAACTCATCTGACAGAAAATGTGTGCCACAGAATCAACAAGATAGTTACAGCAATAATTTAATGGACCCCCAAACTATCCATTTATTATAAAACAATGCAAAATTTACCTATGAAATATTAAAAAGGGAGCTTTCAAAAATTCAGTCATCAGTAGAGTTCATACATAAAACACTGAGAATTTTAATGGGCAACACAACAGGAAACATTGAGTTTTACACTTAGGTATCTAAATATATGAAACATTTTTATGTATGTAGAGCTGAGCGTCTGGGTGGAACTCAGCCCTTCCTTTTTCTGGCTTGGTCAGGCTGTCTTGGAGAGCCTTGTTTTTTCACAGGCCTGTGGCGTTTCAATATTTAGATATTGTTTTTCTACTCGGTAGCACACAAAATTCAGGGCCCCTTCTTTATTCTGCTAATGCTCTATGTCCCTTCACCAGTAAGTCTGAGACTTAGCCTCCATTCCTCACTGCAAAAATGAGCAATCCCCAACACCTTTCCCACACAGTGTCTCCCAGAGACGTCTGCACAGCCCCTTACAGCTTCACACCTCATCTCCTTTGATCTCCACATCCGATTTGGCACACGGGGCAAATTTTACTGTTGCCATTTGAGAGATGAGACTTTTGAGAATCTGAAGATCAAATAAGTGGCAGAATTCAGGGTGTGTCCCTTAGGAAATGCACTTTATGACAGCATATATTATCATCAGTCTACAACCATCAGCATAAGATTAGATTTTGATTACTCACTGTTATGGGTTGAATTGTGTTCCCTAACAGACATTCAAGTCCCAATCTCCAGTGCCTATAAATGTGACTGTATTTGGAAATAGGGTCTTTGTCAATGATCAAGTTAAAACGAGGTCATTAAAGTGGGCCCTAATTCAATGACGGTGTCCTAATAAAAGGGGGGCATCTGGACACAAAGGCAGACGTGCACAGAGGGAATCCTACGCACAGACACTGGGAAGACAGCACTGGAAGCTGAGAAGTGTGAGGTTACCAGAGGCTAGGAGAGAGGCATGGAACAGATGATTCTCCCTCAGAGCCCTCAAACCCAGTCCCTCTGACACCTAACTGCAGAATTGTAGCCTCCCGAACTGTGACACAACACATTTTGTTATTTATACTATCCAGTTGTTACGGCAGTCCTAGGAGACAAATGCATTCATTAAATGTTGGACTTACCACGGCGGTCTCTCCAGCTGTCCAGTCGCTGTCAGGGAAGATAAGCTGATGCTCACTGTGAATATGATTAGAGTAACTGCAACAGCCTGACAACCTACCATGTTCATTCCCAAGTGTGTGGTCTTTGGGAGGTCTTAGGCTTTGATGAGAGCCAACCCCCAAAACCCAATCAAAGTTTTCAGCCAGGGAGTTTTGCCAGCCACACCAGCCTTTTTCAAAAGTACAGGAGCTCCCACACTCATTTTCATCAGTGGAATCTCCACAGTCATCCACAAAATTACAGCTTTGCTCTGGTTTATAACATTTGCCATTGTGACATTCCTGATAGCCATGTGGGCAGTAACCTAAAAAACAGAAAAAAAAACAAAACAAAAAGGATGAGGAAACAGTTCTGGCACATTAGTGAAGTTAAAAGGTTGTAAAAGTAGATTCACTTAAATATAGAAAGAAAGACGTTCTTAGGCGTTTGAGTTATCGGACCCCTATCTCTATGTCCTAATTCTCCCCAGGGTTCTGGCCTATAGATCACTCACAAGGATCAAATGAAATAAAAGAAGAAAAAGTAATAGTATTTTATTGACCTAGAAAAGTATATCAAGTCTCCTCAAATATAGCATTTCCGATAAGCTGTGTTCAAGGATGTAAATTAGATCTAAAAGCCAAAGTGAGGCTTTCCACCTTCCAGTCCTGAAATAACATCTTTAGGGACTAAGAGCTTATGCATCATGGGGCATGTGGAAGTACATTGCATTAGCATCCATGCACTCCATTATTTATCAGAAGCCAACCATATCTAAGATATTTCCTCAAAGCAGGGGCAAGAATATACAAGTAACATCAAACTATCCAATAGATTTTCCACCACAATGCATATTTATTTGCCAATTGTTTGGAATTTTATTTTATAAAATATGTTTTTATTGATTTTTTTAGAGAGAGAGAGAGAAACATTGACTGGCTGTGTCTTGCATGCCCCCTACTGGGGATTGAGCCTGCAACCAGGGCATGTGCCCTGACCGGGAATCAAACCATCAAACTGGGACCTCTCAGTCCCTGGGATGACACTCAATCTACTGAGTCACACCAGCCGAGTATCAATTGTTTGGAATTTTAGAAGCAATTCACTTATAAAGCAAGGTCGACCATAAAGATTTTTTCACAAAGCTTAAGATTAAGAGCAATACTTTTGAAGACCTGAATTTGAACTATAATGCTGATATTTATCAGTTATATGACTTGATGAGCTTTTAGTTTTCCTATTTAAAAAGAGAAAAAATAATAATAAGCATGGAGAATTTAATTAAAAGGACTCTTTATATCACCTGTGTCTACTAAAGTGCCTGGCCCTTAGTAGGCAATGAGCAAATATTAGTCAAATAAATGAATAAGTGAAATAAAGTGCTTTGGGAATTATAAAGCAATTCAATATGCACACTGAAGGAATTATTATTATCCTGCTCCAATATTACAGTAGAACCACGGGTAACAATATTTCAGTAAGAAAACTTTCTTGGAGATCCAAGTTGGGATACTAGCTTCACATTTGATCTGTGGCACCATAGTATCAGAAATTTTCTTCCTGTCCATCTTCCCCCTCTGCCTGGTAGAAGAGCTGATAATCCCACACCTAGATAATTACACTTCTAGATGACAGCTCCCATGGCCTGAGGCAAGTTGCCTGGTGGTTGAGGATTGTGTGGGTTAGAGGTAGGAGGTTATTCAGGGATTTTTCTAAAGGTGTTTTGGGAGCTGGAAACTCTTATCTACGAAAAAAACAAACAATCCAATTTAAAAAATGGGCAAGGGGCCTGAATAGACACATCTCCAAAGAGGACATACAGATGGCCAATAGAAATATGAAAAAAATGCTCACTGTCACTTATCATCAGAGAGATGCAAAATTAAAACCACAAAGAGGTTTCACATCACACTTGTCAGAATGCCTATCATAAATAAAGCAATAAACAACAAGTATTGGCGAGGAGGTGGAGAAAAGGGAACCCTTGTGCACTGTTTGTGCAAATGCAGATTGGTGTAGCCACTGAGGGAAGCGGTATGGAGTTACCTCAAAAAATTAAAAACGGGACCACCATATGACCCAGAGATCCCACTTCTGGTAATATATCCAAAGAAACCCAATACACTAGGTCAAAAGAATATATGTACCCCCATATTCATTGCAGCATTATTTACAATAGCCAATATTTGGAAGCAGCCCAAGTATCCATCAGTAGATGAGTGAATAAAGAAGCTGTGGTACATGTACACAATGCACTACTACCCAGCCATACCAAAAACAAAAAGGAAACTTTACCCTCTGCAGCAGCATGGATGGACCTGGAGAGTATTACGCTAAGTGAAATAAGCCAGTCAGAGAAAGACAAATACTATGTGGTTTCATTCATATGCGGGATTTAATGAACAAACTAAACTAACAAACAAAATAGAAACAGACTGACAGCTGTCAGAAGAGGGGTAGTTGTGGGGCTGGGAGAAAAAGATGAAGGGATTAAGCAAAAACAAAACAAAACAAAACAAAAAAACCAACTACAATAAAAGCACCCTCATAGACACAGACAATAGCATTGTGATTACCAGAGGGGATTGGGGACTAGGGGTGAGAGTAGGTGGAAGAGTGTATAGGGGAGATAAATGGTGATGGAAGGAGACTTGACTTGGGGTGGCGAACACACAATACACTATACAGTTGATGTATTATAGAATTATATACCTGAATCCTATATAATTTTATTAACCAATGTCACCCCAGTAAATTCAATAAAAATAAAATCGTATCTAGAAGCTTTTATGTCCTGAATCAGTCTCACACCTAAGACAATAGATGACTAAGAGGCCAGAAAGGGGAGGAGGGTAAAAGAATGCCCTGTAGAAACCACTGGGAAGGAGACTGGAGTTCTGAAGGCCCCTAGCCATTTGGCACCCTAAATTGATACTGACCTGAGCGTTCAAGATTGCCTAATTAAATGGCTTTTACATTACAAAGCTTTGAAAATAGATTCAACTGTTCATTATGCCTCTAACAAAACTTTCTGTCTGGGTTAACTGCTAATATTTCCCTTTCTTGCAGTGTGGGTTTAAATGATTTTTACTTAGGTATCCAGATCACTTTCAGCAGGTGGGGGGTCAGACCTCTACTGTTTCAATTATGGAGCTTGACTCTAAATCACAACATTAAAGCATTTTTTGAGCTACACAGAAATGAAGATCACTTACATTAACCTTCACACTTATAGATGAGAATGCTGAGGATCATAGATATTAAATGACTTGCTGATTTTTCAAGAGCAGAGATGCAATTTGGACTCAGGTCTAATGTCTAAGGAATTATTCTTTAAATCCATCGATTTGAAAAGAAGAGTACTGACATCAGGTCAACTATCACAACATACAAGACCATCAAGGAACAAAAGTAGGGAATTGACTACCAGATGAATTATTTCTCATGGGGCTGTGGAGAACCTGAGGAATTACTAGATCATTTACTTCTATACAAGTTGGCACTGGTATTGATTCTTTCAATTCCAATTTGTTTGGGGAGTAAAAACAAACTGGTCCTGCAAATACTTTTCTCTAAAGTGACTAACTCAAGCGAAAATCTAATTCTTTTAAAGCAAACAAGAAAATAATTTGCATATGTTTCTAATTGTGAACACATTACAGATTGCAATATATTATGTAATGTAGCTAATATTTTAGAATATCAGAATGATTAAGTTTTACATTTCTAAACGTAAATAGCTGCATAATTTTAAAATACAATAATTCAAATATCACACAAGATTGATTTTGAATAGAAAACCCTCTACATTAATAAAGTTTCACTGCTATAATGCACTCTACCCATAAAATAACATACACCTTTTTTTTTTTAAATTAATATCAAGGGATATTATCAACTAATGTTATTCACCTCTTTCCAAATTATTTTCCCTGCTTGTTGTTTTGTCCAAAGCAATCAGTTGCCTAAGAGTAGGGTGTCTATCTTTAAGTGATTCTGATATTGAAGTTCTTATGAAAGTGCACAACTTTGATTTTTACAAAAATAAATATTGTTTAAATTAGTCAGTGACCCTCTTGGTGGGTGGTTTAGTTCTGTAAAAAATAAATTATGTGAGATATAAAGCAAAAAGCAACAAACAAAAGAAGACCAAAAACAAACTCCTAGACACAGGCAACAGGATGGCGGCTACCAGAGGGGAAGGGAGGAGGGGAGGACAAAGAAGGCAGAGAATCAAATACATGGTGATGGAAGGAGACTAGACTTTTGGTGGTGAGCGCATAGTAGAGCACACAGATGTCATATGTCATATTATAAAGTTGTGTACGTGCAATTTATATAATGTTACTAATCAATGTTACCTCAACAAATTTAATAAAATATAAATATATAAAAAATACTTTAACAGGCAACTCAACAAAAGAATACATTATAAAAGTTGCAAATCTCCAATGCAAATCTTAAAGACCTTTGAAACTCAACACCCTTATATCCAATCTCTGAATTTTCCCCTCCAAACTTTTTTCTGTGAAGAGCCTTCTCATCCTGCTAATGGTAATTCTGTAACTCCAGTTACTCACAGGGAAAACAAACTAACAAACAGATGGAAACATCTTGTAGGAGCTCTGTGAGGGAGTCTGACTTCATTTTTGATGTTTGACTTGACTGCCAATAGCTCCTCTCCCTGTGTTCCATACCTGGGAAAGCTGATCAGAAGCCCAGGTTCTTCTCCTGTTGGCAGTAGGCTCACACCACACAACCGCCATCTGTTCACGGGACTCCTCATCCTGGTCCACCCCTTAACCACCATAAAAGTCTAAGCCACGTTCCTTTCCCTGCTCTCTAAAGTTACCTTTGGAGCCCTGGCTGGTGTGGCTCAGCAGTTAGAGCATTGGCCTGCAGACCAAAGGGCTGTGGGTTCAATTTCCAGTTAAGGGCACATACCTGGGCTGCAGGTTCCATCCCCAGCCCAGGTGGTCAGGGTCGAGCAGAAGGCAACCAATCGATGTCTTTCTCACATCACTGTTTCTCTCTCTCTCTCTCTCTCTCCCCCTCTCTCCCTCCCTTCTAAAAAAATCAATGCAAAAGTATCCTCAGGTGAGGATTAACAAAAAATAAACTACCTTTGGTCATGCCTGGGTGCTACCCTGATCTCCCAGAAAGCCATATTATGTGAGTAATAGACATTTTTAAACCCTCTTGGTGTGCATGTGGTATCATCAGTCTTAACATCCAAACCAGATTGGGATGAAGGTCCATCTTATAACTGAGGATTGCCCCAAACTCTAGGAGCTATAATAACAATATATGTTTTTATCTTATAAC